GGAGGTGGGGGGCGAGGTTGTGTGGGGCCCTCAAAGTTATTGTTGGGGGCACTGGGAGACGGTGGGAGTCGTTGGAGGGTGGTGGAGAGCACTGGGAGGTATTGGGAGTTATTATGGGAGGGGGGTACTGGGAGAAGGGGGCGCTGGGGTGTGATGGGAGAGAGTGGGAATTACGGGGGGGGAACGGCACTGGGAGGTGGAGGGCACTGGGAGGAGGTGCTGGTGGGATTAAGGGACACTGGGAGACCGTACTGGTGGGACTAAGGAGCACGGGGAGGCTGTACTGGAGGGACTATGAAGCACTGGGAGTAGTGGAGAGACTTGGGGGTACTGGGAGGCAGTACTGGTGGTACTGGTTGGACTAAGAGGTAGAGGAAAGCAGTACTGGAGGTACTGGGAGTACTGGAGAGACTCAGGGGCACTGGGAGACAGTACTGGGGGCACTGGGAGTTCTGGAGGGACTCAGAGGCATAGGGAGGCAATACTGGAGGGAATAGGAGGCAGTGGGAATACTGGAGAGACTCAGGTGCACTGGAAGGCTGTACTGGTGCTGCTGGAAGTATTGGAGGGATTAAGCACAGGAAGACAGTAGCAGAAACTGAGAGATACTGGGACACTGGGAGGCAGTAGTGGGCAGTTGGGAGGCACTGGTGTGCACTGGGAGAGCAGGGGAAGGTAAGTGACCTGTAGAATTTGGGTGTTCCTGCAGCCAGAGTGAGCTGAACTGGCCAAGTACTGGGGCTCCTGAACCAAAAAAATGTGGGGTCACACCTTGGGGATGCACTGAGAGTCACAGGAGATACTGGTGGGTGCTGGAGAGGCTGGAAGGCACTGGGAGCACTGGGTGGCTGACTTTTTGGGGTACCTCACTAAAACCAAGCAGCCATGGTCACCCTCAGAGGCACGGTTCACCCTTGACCCAACCATCCCTGGATTTTGACCCTTGGAGGGGTGTTGGGGAGAGGCCAAAGGGCAGCACTTACCATGGGGCTGGCATTCCGGTCACAGAGACCCACATTCCAGCCACGGATGCCTGTTTTGGGGGCTTGGGAATGTCCCCAATTTCAGAGACATCCCACAATCATTAGTCTCCCTTCACCAGGCTCAGAAAACAAATTCCTGTTGCTTCCTTGTCACACCAAATCCCCACCTGCCACTTCTGTTGGTCGTGGTGAAACATTTAATGCGTGCCTTTTTTGTTGCATTATATTTTTTTAATTGGTTGATTAGTAAAGTAATTAAAAGTCAGGGCTTAAGAGCTACCGGAGAAGGGGTTCTTGTAAGGGTAAGCCTGAAGGACGAGGGGGTAGAAATCGGTCTGTGCATTTTTTATTAATGAAACCTTTACAGGATGTTGCGGATGCTTCTCTTGCTGACTTGCTCTTCCTTTTAGGAAGGACACATCCGACTGGTCGGAGTCGGCTAATGGATCTTCTCAAATGGATGCTCTCTCCTTGGAATCCACCAGCAAGGAAGCTTATTTCAGCAGAGTAGAAACATTCACCATATCCTTTCTGATGCTGAGCTTCCAGCAGGTTCCTCCTTCATAGAATCATAGAATTGCCCAGGCCAGAAGGGACCTCCAAAGGTCATCCAGTCCGACCCCCCCGCAGTCAGCAGGGACACCCCCAACTAGACCAGGTTGCCCAGGGCCTCGTCGAGCCTCACCTTGAATATCTCCAGGGATGGGGCCTCAACCACCTCCCTGGGCAACCTGTTCCAGTGCTCCACTTCTTGGAAGCTTTTCTTCTTCTTTGGCCCAAATAAACCGTGGCCAAAGCTTTGCCTGGTCAAGCTGTAATTTTGGGTGTTTTATCCTTAACGTGAGCACCCGCTGAAGTGGGCGGGCAAACCCCATGAGCTGTCCCCCTTGGTTTGTGCCAAGTATGGCTGGACCAACGTGGAGTGTGACATGCTGAAGTGCTCCAGCTGCCAGGCCTTCCTCTGCGTGAGCCTCCAGCTCGCCTTTGACTTCAACAAGTGTATGTATGCTGGGCTCTGGTGGGTACAGGGAGTGGGCTGTAGGGTTTAGGGGGGTGGTTGTGCCTTGCTGTGTGTCTAAACATGTATGCTGGGCTCTGGTGGGTACAGGGAGCGGGCTGTAGCGTTTGGAGGGTGGTTGTGCCTTGCTGTGTGTCTAAACAACTCATGGAATCACAGAATTGTCAGAGTTGGAAGGGACCTCTAGAGATCATCTAGTCCAACCCCCCTGCTAAAGCAGGGTTGCCCAGAGCACATCACTCAGGAGCATCCAGGTGGGGCTTGAAGATCTCCAGAGAAGGGGACTCCACGCCCTCCCTGGGCAGCCTGTGCCAGGGCTCTGCCACCCTCACAGGAAAGAAGTTCTTCCTCAGATTTGAGTGGAACTTCCCATGGTCCAGCTTGTGCCTGTTGCCCCTCGTCCTGTCACTGGGAACCACTGAAAAGAGTCCAGCTCCATCCTCCTTCAACCCACCCTTTAGATCCTTGTCAGCATTAATAAGGTCTCCCCTCAGCCTTCTCTTCTCCAGACTAAAGAGTCCCAGCTCTCTCAGCCTTTCCTCATCAGGGAGATGCTCCAATCCCTCCATCATCTTTGTAGCCCTATGCTGGACTCTCTCCAGTAGTTCCCTGTCCCTCTTGAACTGGGGAGCCCAAAACTGGATGTGGTATTCCAGTTGTGGCCTCACCAGGGCAGAGCAGAGGGGGAGAATGACCTCCCTCGACCTACTGGCCACACTCTTCCTTACACAGCCCAGGATTCCATTGGCCTCTTGGCCACAAGGGCACATTGCTGGCTCATGGAGAGTTTACTGTCTACCAGGACCCCCAGATCCTTCTCCTCAGAAGTGCTTTCCAGCAGGTCCACCCCTAACCTCTACTGGTGCCTGGCGTTCTTCCTCCCCAGGTGCAGGATCCTCCACTTGCCATTGTTGAACCTCATTAGGTTCCCGTAGTCTTGTCTTGGGTGGTGCTGAGTGTTTAATATCTCTGAAAATAAAGTGCAAATTGATATATTTTCTTTAGTTTGTGAGAAATTGGTAAAATTTCCTGCTTCTGTTGTCAGAGATGGGCTAGAATAGAATAGTTCCAGTTGGACACAATGATCATCACAGACCCCTTCCAACTTCAGGACTGATCAGATGTTAAATCATATTATTAAGGGTGTTATCATATTATTAAGGGTGTTGTCCAAATGCCTCTTAATGGGTGCAGGATCCTCCACTTGCCATTGTTGAACCTCATTAGGTTCCCGTAGTCTTGTCTTGGGTGGTGCTGAGTGTTTAATATCTCTGAAAATAAAGTGCAAATTGATATATTTTCTTTAGTTTGTGAGAAATTGGTAAAATTTCCTGCTTCTGTTGTCAGAGATGGGCTAGAATAGAATAGTTCCAGTTGGACACAATGATCATCACAGACCCCTTCCAACTTCAGGACTGATCAGATGTTAAATCATATTATTAAGGGTGTTATCATATTTTTAAGGGTGTTGTCCAAATGCCTCTTAAACACTGCCAGGCACAGGGCATCGACCACCTCTTTAGGAAGCCTGTTCCAGTGTGTGACCACCCTCTTGGAAAAGAAATGCTTCTTAATATCAAGTCTGAACCTCCCCTGATGCACCTCTGAGCCATTCCCACATGTCCTATCACAGGATCTCAGGGAGAAAAGCTCAGCACCTCCCTCTGCTTCCCCTCCTCAGGAAGCTGGAGAGAGCAATGAGGTTGCCCCTCAGCCCCCTTTTTCTCCAAACCAGACAAACCCAGAGTCCTCAGCTGCTCTTTGTGAGCCACAGGATGGTGATGGCCTGTGCTTTATCACCTGCCCAGACCCTTACTTTCCTTTACCTGTATCTTTCCTCTGCAGAAAGATATTTATTACCCCACCACAAATGTGTGTCATCTCCACTTCTCAATTTTCTTGACTGCAGGTCCCTGCTTTCCTTATCTGGAAGGCAGCAGAGAGTGTAGCCCCGATGTCTGACGGACACAGCGTGGGCTGTGTATGATGGGGAGCTGCATGAGCATTTCCTTTTTGGGTCACTCTGGATATTGATGTCCACTGTTTGTTCAGACTATCTTTTTTAAATAAACCTTGGCCTAATTATCCTGTTGGTAACAGCGCTGGTTTGGGAAGGTCTAAAATAATCAGAAGGTGGAAGAAGGGGTTGAAAAAATCAAGTATTTGGTTCTGGAAGGTGTGAATAAGTTAAATATCAAATCTTTTCTTGGGGGGGGAAGCTTGGTTTCTAGACATGGCTGTGATTTGGCTTCTACAGCCCGGGGTGAAGGGGTCAAGTGAGTTAGCCAGGGACTGGCAGCAGCCCAGGAGGTTCCCTGATGCACCTCTGAGCCCTTCCCACAAGTCCTATCACAGGATCTCAGGGAGAAAAGCTCAGCACCTCCCTGGAAAAGAAATGCTTCTTAATATCAAGTCTGAACCTCCCCTGATGCACCTCTGAGCCATTCCCACATGTCCTATCACAGGATCTCAGGGAGAAAAGCTCAGCACCTCCCTCTGCTTCCCCTCCTCAGGAAGCTGGAGAGAGC